CATCCAGTCTGCTAAACGCCTGAACTCTCGTCAGAGCCGTTGGGCACTTTTTTTTCACGTTTCCATTTTACCATCACCTACCGCCCTGGCTCCAAAAACGTTAAACCAGACGCACTGTCCCGACTGTTTCCTGCCGCCCCTGATTCCACTGATCCAGAGACCATCATCCCCAAATCCTGCGTCATTGGGGCGATCGCCTGGGGATTGGAGAAACAGATTCAACGGGCGCTGGAGAATGAACCTGATCCTGGAGGCGGCCCTCCCCGCCGACTCTATGTCCCTTCTGCTGTCCGTTCCCAGGTAATCCGCTGGGGGCATTCATCTAGGTTCTCTGGTCACCCTGGCTCCAGTCGCACCATTGCCTTCATCAGACGATATTTCTGGTGGCCGTCCCTAAACAGGGATGTTTTTGAGTTTGTTTCTGCCTGTCCTGTCTGTGCCCGCAACAAATGTTCCAGCAGACCACCTTCTGGCCTCCTCCAACCTCTACCCACGCCTAGTCGTCCATGGTCACACATAGCCCTGGATTTCGTCACTGGTCTACCCCCATCCAATCACAAGACGGTCATCCTCACCGTCATCGACAGGTTCTCCAAGGCATGCCATCTGATACCACTGAACAAACTTCCATCTGCTCACCAGACTGCCAGACTTTTGTTCGACCATGTGTTTAGACTCCATGGCTTGCCGACGGAAATTGTGTCTGACCGTGGCCCACAGTTTGTTTCCCAAGTTTGGCGTCGTTTCTGTCAGTGCCTGGGGGCTAAGGTCTCACTTACATCTGGATTCCATCCCCAGTCTAATGGTCAGTGCGAAAGGCTGAATCAAGAGTTGGAGAACACCCTCCGTTGTGTCTGCTCCCACAACCCCTCCTCCTGGAGTCAGCTCCTTGCATGGGTGGAGTACTCACATAACTCGCACATTTCAGCAGCCACTGGATTGTCCCCCTTTGAGGCATCCCTAGGTTATCAGCCCACACTCCTTCCCTCTTCCTTCCCTGATCCAACCTTTCCATCCGTCAGGTCATACCTTCAGCAGTGCCGCAAAGTCTGGGATCAGACCAAAGCCGCCCTTGAATGTACCTCCATTCGAAACAAGAAGTTTGCTGACCGCAAACGCATCCCGGCACCTATTTATTTCCCTGGACAAGAGGTGTGGTTGTCTTCTAGGAATTTTCCCCTAAAGGCTGTGTCAAAGAAACTGGCCCCTAAGTTCCTCGGTCCCTTTAAGATCGCCCGCATCATCAGTCCTACAGCAGTCCGGCTCAGGCTTCCGCCTCACCTTCGTGTACACCCTACTTTTCATGTGTCTCAAATTAGACCTGTCACCTCTAGCCCGTTATGCCCTCCTTCCAGACCCCCTCCACCCGCCCGGATTGTGGATGGTCACCCTGCCTTCACGGTTCGACGCATAGTGGCTTCTAGGCGTCGTGGCCGCGGCTTCCAGTTTCTGGTGGATTGGGCGGGGTACGGCCCTGAGGAGCGGTCCTGGGTTCCTCGTTCGTTCATTTTGGATCCCGGCCTCATCTCATCCTTCGAGTCCTCCTCCACTGGACGGCCGCCAGGGGGCGTCCGTTAGAGGGGGGGTGCTGTCATGCTCCAGGCCTGGGTTCAGGGATGGGTTGTCTCTCTCTCTCTCTTCTCTGCAGGGTGGACTGGCAGGTGCTCCTCATCACTGCTGATTTCAGCCCTTCTTAAGGAGCAGAGACCAGGAGGAGGGCGTCAGTTCTTTCTCGCTTCCAGCGTGGTACATGACCCAACAAAACTTTCCGAGTTTCATCCGAACCAGACCTGATATTTTGTCTCTGTCTTTTCCTCCTTAGAACCTGAAATCCAAGCCAGAGAAATCACAAGCCAGGGAGCTGGACTCCTCTGATCGCCTGCCTGTCCACCCTCAAAAACCATCTGCACAAGAGAGACTGAGGGAACCGCTGGATTGCACTGGACCACAGACTTCACCCCCCTGGCTCCGGGCAAGCCTCCCACTCTGTGAGTTTTGAGCTCTCCACATTCTTACTGCCACAGGCTGTTTCTGACCACCTCCTTCGCCCTCCAAGCAGGCCAGAAGATACCAAACCAGTCATCACCTGTCTACCAGCACTTTACAATAAACCAGTTAAAACTAACAGTCTGTCTCCGTGGTTGCTCTGATCCTGAGTCGTTCTTTTCTATCATGACAGCTCCAAGTTTCCTGATTAGCCCCCTCTTTGTCTAAGTCTCCTTTAAAAGCACTCTCTCTTCAGTTCCCCTTTGCTGGGTCCTCATCGAACACTGCCTAACTTCATCAAACTTCCTCCAACTCTGTCTTCCTGAGTCTTCCTCATTGTGACAGTGATTCCCCGGATGTCTCCATGGTTTCTGGTTCGTTTTGACTAGTTTTTATGTTTGATTCTTTTGGATTTTTGGACTCCTGGTTTCATGTTAGTTTGGACTTTGTTTTCATCATTGGATTTTTGGATAACCTGCCTTTGTTTTCAGTTTCCCTTTTATTAAATCTAAAGAAATTCACCTCTGCCTTCCAGCCTCTGCTTTTGGGTCAACAATCCATAACCAAATCCTGATTAATAGATATTTGCAATCCATAAATGAAACTTTGAAAAGTGTCTATCAAAAAAGGTTTTGAGACAGTGGCGGTCGGCCCATAGGGGGCGCTGGGGCACCGCCCTCCCTGATAAGAAGAGAGAAACGTAAAATATATTTTTAGAAATTAACTCATAAATGTCAGTTTTACTCTCTAGAGTGTGTACCTATAAGCAAAACAAATTATAGAAACTACATTTCCCTATCTACTGTCATTCATTTGTGGATTTCCACAGACAGACTCCTACAGTCTCTGTCTTGGGGCTGTGGTCAGACAGCCCCACATTTGCAGAGAATCTGTCAATCATGTACTATTGCTAGGTGAATTTAATGACCAATCAGCGTCTCAGAACTTTATGGTCTTGGGGCTCTGAAAATACTGCACTTTAACTGGCTTCTGAACCCAAGTGCAGGTGCAGACAATTAGAGGGAAGATGGCGAACGTAACGAGCGAGATGCAGCTTCCACCAAATTCTGTGAGATCCTTATTTATCTACCCGTTTGCCAGAAGAACATCCCTGTTGTAGGGTAGGATAATTTCATGTCATGGTTATTGTGACTGTGACGAATCCACCTCGTTGCTTAAAACATCCTCTAACTTTGCGCGCCACACACACACATTCCTGTTATACTGTGCTTGTGAGGACCAATACACTCGCGCAGTACTGTTAAATTGTATGTATTGTCCAATTGTTTATTTGAATTCTTATTCCGGATTAGTTGGAGACATACACTAGGCTATATCAGCCCCACCAAAAATATTTTTCACCAGTCGCCACTGTTTTGAGAGTCAATGTTTCTTTTTCAGACTAATTTTTAAGAATTGCATTTTATTCGAATATACATTTATGTCACTTTAAACCCAATACAAACTCTCACTCTTGAATGTTGTTGCTAATGTCTATACAGACCAATAAAAAAAGTGTCTTTACTCCTCACTCCAAAGAGAACCCCACCCCAAGAAGTGAAGAGAATCTAATCTGTAAAATGCAATTTGAAAACAGAAATTATATATTCATAATCTAATTAATTTATTGTTGGCAAAAAGAATTCCATTGTCACAATGGCAACTTTTTTTTATTTTTATCTTTAAAACGGGAAACATTGTTGGAGAAAACACAGGCAGGTCAGTTTGGGAGTGATCATAAAAGAAAGATGAGGTTCTAAGCCATTGAGATGAAGGTTATAATAATGATTATTGTAAATAAAGAAAAAATAAACATACATTATTTTTTCATGCTCTGCATTACCTGTCTTAAAGTGCTACAAACAAAGGTAAAGGTAAATAAAAAATAAGTATACTTCATCCGTGGTTATATTTTATTTAATTAAGGGAGAAAAACATCCCTGTTGGAAGGAGATACGCACTTTCAGGTAATACCATGTCTCTTTGAAGGCTCATTTGATGTTTATTTTATAAACCCGCAACACTATTTAGGTTCAGTCCTTTTTCTTTCATTTTGATTTAATTTTATAAAGCTTGTCTACCGTCCCGTTGCACTTCAATATTTATTTTTGATGGTCCAAATATATTTAAATACACAAAGAATATCTCTCCATCCTCTGTCATTTTACCAATGCTTCGATTGTGGCAACAACAGCTGATTTTTTTGTGCCAGTTTGCACAAAAAATTTTGTAGTAGTAACAAAAACGCAAAAACTGCTGCCTCAGTTGTGATTTATATTTTGAAAATAACTTAGCACGTGGTGAATATTTACATTGCATATCCTCTACCAATCAATTAGATGTTTGATTATTAGAACAATTGATGAAGGCAAAACTTGGTTAATCTACCCTGTCTGCTGAATTGCAGGCGTAAATCACTTTGTCGTCTTTGAAGGTCAGCTCTGCACGTACAAACACGCTTGTAAAGATCAGTCTCAGAGTCTATCACAAACTCGTTTTATAGATAAGAGCCCAGAAGTCCTAACATCTATGACTTTCTATTCCATGTTCTGCATGTCTCAGAGAGCTGGTAGACAAAAGCCTTTGTTTCTGATTGATTAATTTTTATTTAACCTCTAAAAGTGCATGAGTGTGTATTTCTCAAACTGAGAGGTTGTATTTTACAGCTGGATTCTCCAAACTCTAAATCGTCGAGCATTTTTTGTTGAAGGCCAGCTTGTCTTTTGTTCAGTTTTGTCAATATAATGCACTGAAAAAAATAATGCAACTGCTTTTGGCCTTTACTTAATCATGATTAGTTAATTGTGTTAAAGTAACTAAATATTTTTTATATGATTTAGTATTTGCCAAAAACGGTTGCATTATTTTTTCAGTGTGTCTTGTATATATGTATATTACTGCCGACAACATGGACTGCAGAGATATTTGTTGATGTACTCATACTGGCTAAAGTGTATTCTCAACGTGCGTTAATTGTGGAGGAAATACAGCAGTACAACAGTGAAGTTACTCACCTCAGTTGTTATGCAGGGGCTGAGTTTACCTGCAAGGAAACAAGACAGAAGTGTAAGCTGGGTTCTTGTGGTAACAAAGCCAATATCGGACGATTACTATAAATTATTCATCTACGCTAAGCTACAACAGTGTCAAAGCATTCAATGTTTTTGCATCAAATGTTAGCAGCTAACACCAACAAAGATTTAGGTATACATGTAAGGCTCAGGAACAAACCCTAATTATGCTAATCGATTAATAAGATAACAGATGGTGCATTATGGTAGATCTTTTACTAAATTTGAATCAGGTGAAGCTTATACTGCACCATCTGAGGAGTTCTGGTTTTCACAGACAAGGGAAGTTTTTTAATCATAATGCAAAATATAAACCGATTTTTTTACAGTTTTGGCCGATATTTTTGCTCTGAATTGATAGTTTTCTTAGCAAATTGCATGTTTCAGCATCTGAATACTCCACTTAGCAAGTACTCAGTTGCTAAATTAGTTGTAAAGTATTTCAATATTTTATTCTTGGCGATTAATCAGATTATTTGTCTAAGCCCTAGTCTGGATAATCTGGTAACATGAGATATTAAGTGAGCTGTTTACTTGAAAAGTGATGCACAGTACAGACAGACAGATAAATTGGTTGACCGATATTTTTGGCCGATATTAAAATTTTTTCTTATATCCTATTGGCCGACATGTGCATGCTTTGACCCATTCATCAGTGCATTTGGAAGCCATGCATTGGGATCATGTAAAGCGCACGCATTGCTGCTTGGACGCTAGCAACAACATCGTATTGACCAATGGGCATGTTAATGGTCAGCGGTGTCTAAAGTACACACATTTGTTACTTAAGTAGAAGTATAGATACTGCAGTTTAAAAACACTCTGGTAAAAGTATCAACTTGATCTCTTTACTCAAGTAAAAGTGAAAAAGTTCTTAAAAATATATAAGTATAAAGTAACCTTTAAAAAAAACAGCCAGATGCCACTATATGAATTGAAAGCTCAATTTTTCGACTATTTATGAAAATTGTTTGACATAGGGCCAAGGATGAGGGAGGTCTTGTTGGTCTCCGTCTCCCGATTCGCTCTCGCCTGTGTCCGACTTGTCAGACATTTCAACATCTTTTTCTGGATCCTACATTGTAGCATGGCATAGACAATTCACGTTTACAGTTTGAAGAACACCTGCTTGCTTCTGATGATTTCCTTTAGCTAACCAATGAGTGTTTGCGTTATATGACTCATCCAATTCCACTAGTTTTCACTAGATGTGTATGGAGACAATGATCTGCATTGGATGGCGCACATGACGTGAAATAAATATTTATAAACATTAAACCGAAGCCAAGAGTAACAAGTAACGTTTGTTTTAAAAAGGTAAGGAATAGAAAGTACAGATACTGGTGTGAAAGTGTAATGAGTAGAAGTCAGAAGTAGGAAGAAAAATAAGTAATGGAGTAAGGTATAGATACCTAAAAACTGTACTTAAGTACAGTAACAAAGTATTTGTACTTCGTTACTTGACGCCTTTTTTAATGGGTTTGAAGTGAAGAGAATGTCATTTGTAAAACGAAGTTTGAAAAAGAATGTAAATTTGTAAAGTTTAATCTTACAACGAATTTTTGGGAAAAATCTGTCAAGAAATGTTTGAAAAAATCAAATTGGAAAAAAATCTGAAAGTGTGACACCTGGAAATTTTAAATTATGAAAAAATAAAATGTTTTTTTTTTCTCCAATTAAATATATCTGACTGGATATTGGTAAATATTCATTCAATTCAATTCAGTTTATTTCTATAGCGCCAATTCACAACACCAGTCATTTCAAGGCACTTTACAGTTCAACCAGATCATCCAGTCAAATTGATTCAAAGTTTTCTATCTAACACTGCATGAAAAGTGGGATTTTCGTCAATATACGGCACTGTAGATTGTCGTGGAACTTCAGGTTAGCGGCAGTTTACGGCAATTTGCAGGCTTCGCCGAAAACTCCCGTAAATTGTCAGAAATTGACGTGGAATTTCTTAGGCAGTGTTCCCCCCATGCCTCCCCCCCATGGAATTCTAGGGGAGGCTTTAACATGTAAATGAACATGCTGTGAGCTATACAAATGCAAATCAGGGTTGCAGGGGGGGGTTTTACCCCAAGTGACATCTTTCTAAAAGGTAAGAAAATCTCTGATACAAAGAGATCAGGCTCAGTATAGCCTCTTACATTTTAGCTTGAATTGATTTATTTAATTAAAGTATAGAGACCAAAACAGATCTTTAGCTGACAGAGCAATACATTTAGAGCAGTAATTATTTTTTTAAAAATTTGCATTTAAGATAAAAAATAAAATGTTGTCTGTCAATATGCTCAATTCACAATTACTTAAGTGGAAAAGTTTCAAGAAATGATTCTGAGATGATTCACTTTATAACATGGCGCATTATCCTGTTGGAAGTAGCCATCAGAAGATTGGTACACTGTGGTCATAAGGACATAGGTCAGCATGCTAAATTGGTATTAAGTGGCCCAAAGTGTGGCAATAAATATCCCCCAAATAGATGGTAGAAATAGATCAGGCTCAGTATAGCCTAATTATAGACTCTTACATTTTAGCTTGAATTCATTTATTTAATTAAAGTACGCTAGATTACTGTGTATGCAAATGTTATGTAAAAAAAATACACAAAATAAATTATTTCAAAAATTAGTTTTAATCAGAATCAGTTGGCTGTAATGGCGGTTGGCAAACAATTTTTTTTTTTTAGATTTCCACTTTTTTTTTTTTTATTGAATATATAAGAAAACAATAACAATCTCAAATAACAAGTCAATAACAAATATTTCAATACAAGAAGAAATATCACAACTCCTGCTTTTGAAAAATACAATTAAATGCACAGTGTGGAACAAAGTATAAAATAAAATAAATAAAAATAAATAAAATAATAATAGTAGTTAAAGTAAATTAATCAGTGGGGACTACCAACTGAAATTCTTCAATTAACTCAAACAATTTAATTGCATTTAAATTCTGCATCTTTCTCAGACATCTTTTGAAAAGGGAAAGTTCATTTTTGAGAGCAGAGATTGAGAGGGAGCATTTTGCATAGCGACATTTATGGATATAATACTTTGTTACAATTATTAGAATATTGATTAAAAATTCCAAATATTTTTTCTTTAATGGATAAACCGAATTGAATGTTTTGCCAGGAAATAAAATCTAAATTTATTGTTTTAGAAGACAGAAAGGTTCGAAGTTGATCTCATAAGTTTAATATTTCTTTACATTCATAAAAAAAGATGTTTAGTTGTTTCCAATTGAGTTGTACAAAAGCCACAATTCTCAACATTAAACTTAAATCTCTCTCTTAAAAACTCATTTGAAGGATATATGTTATTTATTATTTTAAATTGTAATTCTTTATCTTTAGGAGGAATTGGGAATTTTAAATAATTTGTCCTCATTTTGACTATCATAGATTTCTTAAAATTTTGTAAGAGAGCTGTGCTTTTTGTTCTTCCTGGGTACATATTATTTATAGAATATTGATTCAAAAACTTGTTGTTGCATTTATTATCTCTAATGTCCACCTTCTCAAATTCAATCTTATGGAGTCTAAGAATAAAGGAATTAGGTAAACTGTTTTTAGTAGAATGAATGAGGACATCAGGGATACTACGTAAAACTTTCTTATAAATTCTTAGTGAACAATCGTTTCTAAACTTCCTGTTAAAATCCTCCAAACTTAGAAAATCACCATTACCATTTGGCAAACAATTTATAGGTGCATTACCGCCACCTTCAATCTTAATATTTTGAAATTGTCTGGTAAAAGTCCAAGGTAAAGTGCTTTTGCTACCTATCCAAACCTGTAGAACTTAATATATTATGCAGACAACAAAAAGTTTCAAATCTCTATATGCAGAAAAATTATAAGCATACCTTCAAAGACTTGTAGCTCTAACTGCAGCAAACACAATTGTAGTGTTGAGGGAGCGGAATACATATATATTGCATTTTTTGTGTAGAAAATGGTCAGAAAGCATGTACGGTTTATTTTACTATCTTCTCATTTATGTTATTTAAACTCATAAAGTATGAATAACATACATTGAAGTTTTTGGATTTGCCGTGAAAATTAGGAGTATTTATAGTTTAGCAAGACAAAATATACCTTTTAAACTGAAAATGGACGGGGAAATATGGTATTTGTACATAACAATTGCAAACTGCCCTCCAAAATAGAACCTTCTTGTGCTTTTAATTTGTATGGGATTATTTCTGTTGCACGCTAAATGTTGCAGTAACCACTCCGTGCCGACAGGGTGCAGTGTCGCCTAGATAAAACCGTTTTCCACCTCCGGCATCATGTTTGTGTTACTATACTCAGAAGAACTTCATCTCCAGTTACCGTGTTTGTATTTTGTTGTTACGTGAACAACGTCTCGCGTTCAACTCGCCTCCAACTGCTCTTAGTCCACAACTTTCGGCCAGCCCGCAGACTGACGAGAAGAAACTGCTGATTGCTATCAGCGGACTGTCTCGTCAGCTTACCCAGCATACTGCCGACATGAATGAGCGGCTCACTCAGCTGGAGAATTCGATGCACTCCAGGTTGCAGTCCATAGAGGACAAGATGGCGGCTCTGCAGTCGAGCAACTTTGCGGGATATACGAACTCGAGGAAGAGAAGACGGGTGCACAACGCCACGCTAGCGGTAAATATATGTTCGATTACTGGTAGCTATGCTAAAAGCAGCCTAGCTTAGCTAGGCAAGCTAAAGACAACCTAGCCTAGCTAGGTAAGCTAAAAGCAGCCTAGCCTAAAGCTTTATTAAAGTGTATTTTTTTGTGCTGTCAGTTAAACGCGTTATTAACGGCGTTAACGTAAACCCATTTTAACGGCGTCAATTTTTGTATCGTGTGATTAACGTTCTTTTTGGCCTAACACACTTTGTAGTTTTTTCACATGCTGTTGCAACAACTAGTAACGTTAGAAAAACTACAACACCACTCCGGATCTAGTTAGACCGGAAACA